TCACCTTTTTATTTTAGTGACCAAACTTGTGCTGCAAATTCAATCAGAGGTCTAACAAAAGTTGTAAATAAATTCTTGACAAGATGCTGATCTAAGTAAACAAATATGTTTTTTATCATCCTCATTATTGCATTTGATTTTGATGAACATGTGATTATGTGTTTCTTTTATTTCAGTGACATATCAAAATTTACACCAAGATCATGCTCATTTGTTGAATTGTTAATTTCTGATCCATTAATTGTGTAATTGAATTTTATTTTGTTTTTACCGTAACGTATAACCCACATTTACTCTCGTTCAGTTTGATTAACCATTTTTATGACCACTCTCCTATATCATTAAATTTCTTTGAATTATTTTAGTGATCTTAATTGAATTTACAGCTGATAAGATTTTGGTGTCATCTGCAAATATTTTTACAGAGCTTTTGGTTTTCTCTGATATGTCATTGATGTGTGCAACAAAACGAATGGCCCTTTGAATGGATCTTTGTAGATCCATTCTAGGGCCATTCAAGTGATTATGTTATGTAAACTTTGTTTCTTATTTTTGTTAACGTTTTTTAGATACAATATTTTTACTAAATTATGTTTGTAGTTTTATAATGAAAAGCTTTTTTCACTTGGTGACAGTTGCATGCTTTATAAATTAAATTATGATTGTTCGTTAATATATTTATACGGCTTTTAAAATCAATTTTGAAGGTTATTATTCAATATAAATTTTAGTATGTATGTATGTATGTATGTATGTATGTATGTATGTATGTATGTATGTATGTATGTATGTATGTATGTATGTATGTATGTATGTATGTATGTATTGTACATTGTCCAATTCTTATTCTTTATTAGACCTCGCAATTTGTAAGATGAATTCTGGGACTGTCTTTGATATTTAAAAATGTAAAATTCAACCTAATAAGAAAACAAAGGAAGAAAAATATATAGAATACTTAGCCATTAATTATGATATACATAAACATTATTAATATGAGTTATTTTGTTTTTTAGTAGTTATCAAAAAACTTGTAATCCTAACTAAGTATTACATTGTAATACTTGCTAAGTTCCTGAGAAGCACTCGCATGAAACTTACTAGTATAAGCAGGTTTTAATCGAACTTAGTAGGAATTTTAAGATTTTTATTCGGCTATTCGCCGTATTCGCAAGTTTTAGTCAGAACTTAGTAGGAATAATAAACTTTTTACTCGGCAATTGGTTGGATTAGTCGGTTTTGGTGAGAAATTAATAGGAATTATTAGTATTACATTTGGAAACTGGGTTTTAGTTAATAATGGAATTTCGTTTTTTATTTGGTATTTAATTGAATTATTTGTATTTTAAAGATTACATAATTAAATTAGTACGACTATTGTTCAAGAAGTATGTGTTAAAGTAAAAATTTGAAAAAAATTATTTTTAAATTTTTACTTACCTAAACACAAATAATTAAAAAAATAAAAATCCTTCCTAATTTAACTACTATAGTAGTACATTATAGTTTAATTAATTGAACTTGTTGCCTAAGCAATAAAGACGCTTATTAATAAAACAATTATAAAAATTACAAATAAAGAAGTGTTAGCTTGTATTACAAGAACATATAAAAAAATACAATAACAACGGTCAGTTATTTAGTAATTTCGAAGCCAATGGAAATTCTACCAATATTACTCATTTCATCTTTTATTCGATCTAACTGTAACTATAATGAAATTTACAAAAATATTAATATAATTCGACAACTTAATAACCTTTAATATTTTACAATAAAAAAGCTTATTCAGTCGACCATAATTTTATAATGGTGAAAATCTTTTCATTGTCATTTTTCTAGTAATATTTTAATTGTAATTTTTGAGGGAAAAACTTTAAAAGTTGAAAATATAAGTGTATAAAAATATAACAAAAAATATCTATAAAATATGAATAATTATAAAATCATGCTGATTTCTAATGAGTTTTCACCGCACTTCCTAATTATTTTATAATTTGCCTATTTGTAAATCATAATTAAAAGTGTGTCGAATATACCTAAATTCTATAACTGCATTCATGTAGTAATTTGATAGAGACCAATAGAAAATTCCAATCATAATATTTTATTTGCCTTATCTTTTATTCAACCAAAACTGTATTTCTATTGAAATATATAAAAATATTATTGTGATTCGATAACTTATTAAAATATATTTTAATTTAAAGTGAACCAGTTCAAACATCTTGTCGTCAATTTCTTGTCATTAAAACATGAATTTAACAATGCTGCTGCGTTGCTGGAGATAACTTCATAGAACCTACAAAGCATTCATCATACTTCTCAACATGTTTATGCATTTGCAACAATTTTTATAACTATTTATTGAATTTCCTAAAAAAAGAAAAGAATTCGTATTATTTTTCTCGGGTAATTTCAAAAATGGAGACAAGGCTCAGTATTTGTAAAAATAACATAGCACTCGATTTTGATTTCAAATGATTAGTTTACTAATAAGATACAGTATTAGTAACTAAGTTGGTAACCAAAGTAAAGACTAGTAACCAAAATAATTAAATTTCTAAATTGAAACATAGTTTAATCAGCCTGTCAGGTTTTCGAGTTTCAGATTAATTAGCTTATAAAATTGGACACAGTATTGTTATTTTTTTGTTTCTGATATATAATTTTAAATTCAAAAATTCGTTTTGAAAAAACTTGTTACTTATAACCTTTTTCCAGTTCAGCAAAGAATTTTTTCCTTCTATTAGATGGTATAATTTGACAAGCTTTTTAAATAAAGTTTTTTTGAGACTTATTTGAAAGAATTAACTCCAAGTTAAATTTTTTTTATAAACCTGATTTAATAATTTAAAAATTGTAAAATCGCGCTAAACTTAAAACGTGGTTTTGTAGTAACGATTTTGCAGAAGAAAATCCTTTATTTCAGAATTAAATTTGCTTTTTCCTGAAAAAAGTTATAGAAAAAACAAAAAAGATCGCACTTTGAAACGTACGAACTTTAACTGAAATAAATTCTAAAAAATTGTAAAAAAATGTAATAAAATATTGTTAAAAATTTTTTTACTTAAAGAAATTATTAAATTTATTCAAGTGTCTCATTTAACATGACTAAACTAGTATTAATAAAAAGTGAACCTGTTGAGAAATTTGAAATTAAACTATAACTCGGTTATTTATCGTGACACGTGTAGAACAACAATTGGTTCTCGGAATTAATAAAAATCTTAGGATAATCTATGGGTGGCATTAGTAAGATAGAATTATATATATATATATATATATATATATATATATATATATATATATATATATATATATATATATATATATATATATATTACATTTTAAACGTTTTATATGCATTTAAAGCCTAATTAAAATTATATTTTATTTCAAAGCAAGTTTTTTTTTTTTTTTGTTTCCTTTAATTCTGCAATCGTTGAAGCTTTCCAAACATTCTTTTACGCCACGTTTCAATTACTTTTTTTAACGTTTCAGTTATTTTTATTTAACATTTCAATTTTTTTATTGAACGTTTCAATTATTATAATTTGTTTTAAATGAAGCTTTTTCAAAAAGAAGCATTTGAAAAAAGAAGCTTATAAAAAGATTAGAAATTCAATTTATTTGAAAGGTTGTGATGTTTACAAAAAGAGGTGATGATAATGCGCTTAATCAATCTGTGAAAATGACATAATGTTTAATTCTGCCACCCCTAATGGTGATGAGCAAAAAAAAAAAAAAAATTATACAATTGGTTTGCAAATCCAATCAAGTTTAAAATCAATATTTAAAAAATTGTTGTTTTGTTTACATAATTTTTTGATTCATTCAAAATATATGATTTTTTGTCAAGAAAATTTTAAACAGTTTTTAAATAACTACATCATCATGATGCAATCAAATAATTACATCAATTTTAAGAGAATTTTTTTACAAACTTGAAACTCTTTAAAAATACTTTTTTTAGTTTTTATTATATTTTTTTACTCTAATATAACTTAAAGTCTTATTTAAAGTTGAGCTAAGATTTTTTTTTTATCACCCAGGCGGTCCTATAATGCAACGGATTTTTATTAATTTTTTAATCAATTTTTATTTATTGGAAATTAGGAGGAGGGGCGATTCTAGAAGTAAAATAAGAGGGCGACTTCTTAAAAAAAGGCATTCAAGGATTTCAAAAAAGTTCCTTAAAAGTAAAAACCTGCCGACTGAAATGTGTCAAAAGCCAACTAGCTGGTTATAATCCTCAACCCCCTCCCCCTTTCCATCACCTCCCCCTCCTTTTAAATCATCCCTAATTGGGAGAAAACTTTGCTTTCTTTTTTGCTTTGGTAAAATAAACTTTTAAAACAAATTTAAAAAAATTTTAAAACAGTTAAAAAAGTTATTTGAAACATTTAAAAATAACAAATTTTAGTAAAACAAGTAAAAATAAAATTCTAAAATAATCTAAATATTTAATTAGATTTTTTTTTCAAAATATTTTAAAGATGATGATTGAAGATGGCTAAGTCTTTTACAAATGCCGATTATATTACTTTACATGAGATAATATTAAATAGAGAAATTTTGTTAAATTTGCTTTAACTAAATTTCTCTATTTAATATGATAAACAGTTAGGCGAATATACAAAAAAAACCCTGAGGGGTTAATTATTGCAGAAATTGTTTAGGATCTTTACTATTTTTTTCAAAAAATAGTGAAGATGTTGAAAAAAAGTATAACTATTTAAACTGATATGCTGCAATTGGTTGTTATATTCTTATTGTTGCAAATACTTTTATTTGTAACTTTGTACACCTGACGTGAACAAACGCGTTCGTTTATAAACTCAAAAAAAGCACGCAAATTTCAAGCTCTGTTTGAGATTTAACTTGGAATTGAGTTTTCTTTATTTTATGTTTACTGCATTGAAAACTCTATGCTACGTTTAGTTGTGTAGTTAAGGTTTAGTTGTATGTTGGCTGTGCCAACTTGGTGCAAATAAAAATTTAGTTGCACCTTTTTTATCACTGCGCATAAATTGTTTGTTCGCTTAAAATTTCGATAATATTTTGTTTTTGATTCATTTTGAAGATCATCATATAAAAATTATATAATACTTGTGTAATTTTTTTATTCATTCAA